TGTCTCGTCGCTCCGGCCGGACACGGCATCAACAGTATGTGTGGGGCGTAACATTTCCGTCTCACGCTTGAGGTATTCGGCCAATCACAACGCACTGGATTGCTGGCCAATCAGAGCACACCTCGCTTTTTCAGACCGATGAGCTTTGTAAAAATCGACGCGTTTCAGAAAGGCGGGGCATAGAGGAGAAACAATAATGTACAGTATGTGGAAAATAATGTGTTTTTTGAACCTTAAACCGCATAAACACATTTTATTACACCAAATACACAAAATAATGTTCTTTTTAGCAACATCATATGACCCCTTTAACTAGAAACAATGTTTAATTTAAGTTTTATTTTGAAATGTAAGTCAATAACAATTGGCTGAAGCCAGAGCCAATGGTGAAAGTCTTTGCGTGAGGAGACACCGCCCCATTTTGGAGGTTCTGCCCACTTTTGGAATTCACGCCCCATTTTGGAGATCTCCAGTCTGGTTATATCTACTTGGTTACCCATGACATAGTCTCGCGTAGCCAGACCTTCAGACTGACGGCTGAAGGTCTGGAATCCATGGAAGCTTTCTTTGGCCAAAGCCCGCCCATGAGGCCGTTTGACCGACATGTCAAACAACCAATCACAGTTCGTTTCGTTCAGCGGCACGTTTCGGGGCGTGGAAATGTCGCCACAATAACAGACCGGTGTGTAAAACTGTCTGACGTATTTTAAAGATTCTGTGCGCGAACTTAAAATATTTCACATACTTTTTAGAATCCAGAGTTTAGTTGATCCTGATAAGCGCTTGTCGTCACAGTTGTAAACACGACGGCTTTCTTCTTTCGTGAGGGGGTTTGGCGTCACGGCATCTTTGTTTCCAGCGGAACGTTAAAGAACGCGACACACACGTCTCCCGGAAATCCTGTATAATTCAACCAATCCGATGACGACTTCGAAACTCCTGAAGTGTTTCCATGCTAATATGGCGGCGCCTTCCCGAAATGCAATGCGGAGTGAAAAGATCGTGACGTAACTCCTCATTCTCTATTGCAAAGTCATGCAGTGTGTAACCTCCTGTCGTCGTTCCATCGTGCAGTGTGAACACAGCAACAACTGAATGCTACCCCAGATAGTCGTTCAGTGTGAAACCAACAGTGATGCGACGTCTTTGAAAACCGTGCAGTGTGAACTCGGCATAACCGACCTCTCATCCGGGCAACCTGTTTCCTGCTGGTGTTCTCTGTTTCTCCGCGGTCTCCACAAGTATGCAAATTAGGTAACTGTAAACTATTAACTATAAATTATTATTTAATAATATTAATGTACTTATTTGGTAAGTAGCCTTGTAATAAATGAGATAATGTAGTGTTATCCCAAAATAAACCCATTGGGTGATATAGACCCTGACTGGCCTATCGCCACGTCGAACGGCTGGCTGTTCATTATTCCAAACTGACACGATTACACGATGCTTACAAGTAGACCGCCAAATGACATTTGCTTGAAACAGATTTATAGTCAGTGTTTCAAAACCTAGTGAGCTACACACCTGGACAGCATTTGGGTATCTATGCGCCAATCATACTGTGTAGTAAGGGAACTTAGACGGTTTTGAGACAGCTTAGTGCTGAGATCTACAGACCTGACAGGTGTTTCCTCTCCTCGCAGTCTGCTAAACCCCTTTTGTAATTGTGGTCTAATCGATGGAAGGTCTGCTCACGTCAGATATAATGTACTTTGTTAGATATAAATATGGCTGTTATTTAATTCGTGGGCTTTCGGATCAAAATGGTCGCTTAGCCCATTCTTTCTAAATGATTAAGCTTTTACGCCATTCCGCTCGTCGAAGCAGCACACTGAGTAGTGATTGTCACAAAAGATGTCTAGTAATCCTACTCTAATCGCATGAGGCAGACATCGGATGACTTCGGGGTGAAAGGCTTTGCGGCATCAAGGTGAGTGGTCAGACTGACATCACCTCATCATCCTCTGCTTACCATGGCCTCCATAGACTCCCAGCTCTTCGTCTCCGAGCCAGACAACAAGAAACTCTTCGCATTCCCTCGAAAATTCACCTTCAGACTGATATAGAAGTCCATGGCGCGAGTACTATTTAAGGCGTTGCATAGGTGAAAACAGAAAAGCTTTGATGAGTTACTGTGCCCTGGCTTCTAGATTTCTCTGGTCAAAATGGTCCTTTCTGTTTACATCAGCGACGCAAACACGCCCTCTGCATCAGCTGACAGGAAAATGTCTGACGTCACTCAAAGCGAAACCATCTAATGTGCAGTGACGTTTCATTTTAATCGGTTCAAAGGGTAAAATCGTGAATGTTAACTTAAAATATTTACCTAGCACAATATTTACAAAATACTGTTATCGTCAATAATTTGATCCATAAATAATAAAGAATAAAGTTGGTTAGTGTGTGGTACTGTACAGTGATAAATAGCCTATTGTCTATTCACCCAGCAAGTGAACTGTACATATTTACTTTCCAAGGGCTGTATTTAGTTGTTTATTTTTTTTTAAAGTTCCGATCCTGGCTTCTGATTGGTCATTACAGATTTCCAGGCGTCTACGTAATGACATGTAATGACAGCTATGACGTAAAGCTTCACTGCGCAGCAGCCGTAATAGATTTTTGTTTTTGTTGCATAGCAACGTTCTGTTACGTCAAGGAATAGAATGTCTCTTAATGAATTTGCTTAGTAGCCTACAATTTTGATGAAAATCTGTGTTACTACTTTTTATGGTATTATATATTGTTTTTAACGTAAGATATTCTTCTTGTCAGGGTATTGTGGGTGCTGGGTACTGTCGCAACACTTTTTGTAATTGTCAAAAATACTTTTTTTTCCAGATTTGATAGTAACACATTCATTCACGTAAATTGCTTTCATCGTAGCATGGCTTTCCTATGCCTTCGTATTTGGATAGGTGTTTTAGGTGAAGCAAATTACAAATCATATGGTGGAAAATGTCTTGTTTTGTAAGTTGTTGCGCACTATACGCAACGCATACCAATGTTTTTGCGTCGCTCTTTGTTAGCAAGCATATTATGCGAGAGGTTAATGTGATCTATCCTGTTTCTCTACCTTTCTCTTAAAACATCTGTTCACTGTATCAGTATCACTTTGTTGATCACTCATCAGTTGATTCTTCATCTATCTGATCATTTTAAGTCAATTTAGTATACTATGTGTGTCGTTTATTTTTCATTTGTGTCTATTTTAAACTTTCCTGAGGGGGGAAAAAAATCTATTTTTCCAAGTAAATTCCACGGCAGTAAATTCTATGACCAGCAGGGGGCACCAATTCCATTGGCTCTTTGGCCTGATTTTTCTGGTGGCACAAGATTGTGTTTTTTGATTAACACATTTATGATGTGAATTTAATATTGTGTAAGATTATTGATGCCATTTGGCTGGATCAGAAGAAGGTCACAGTCTGAAAAAACAAGGAACTCTCACGAGAATCAACACCTGAACTCTGTCTCGCAAGCCTAAAGCAATACACCCAACTGAGAGAAACAAAAGCTCCACACCTTCACTCTTCCCCTCTCTCCCCTCATTTCCATCTGAACACAGGACACTGCAGAGATCACCAAAACCACCTTTCTTAATCAGAGTTTATTACAATGCAACAATTCATGTTTGAAGTCGTTTGAAAGGTCTCTGTATGTCTGGTAAAGGGGTCTCATTCTCTTAACAATAGAACAGGTAGCGCATAGGAAAATGTATTTAATTTAACATTGTTGTGATGCATAAAAGGAAAGACAACAACCCGCAAGAATCCTTCTACCGGATCACTGGCTACCGTCGTTGGACCAGTGGGCGGACCTTACAATTGGTGCTTTGCATTGATAGTTTTTTCTTACTATTTATCTTGAGCTGTATTTGTTGATTTATCCTAGATCAGGGCATATCCAAGGAATACACTTTTTTTACATTAAAAATTCCCTACTCTTTTGTCCTCCCCCTTATGATGGGGAAACCACATAGCCCATTGCAAAACAGAGTTCACACAAGAGATGTTTAAACATGAATGTTAAACAATTGTGATGCAATCAGACAGACGAGACCCTTCTCAGGACAAGCATAGAATCTCCAGGTCACTCTGCTGTTGGTACAACATCTGCAGTTCATATCTGCAGCACAGACTTGTGATTTTAACCTTAAGTCTACCCTGCAAGTGCAGTACTGGGGCTTCCTGAGAAAAAAAAAAGAAGCATTGTTGCAGAAAGTCCTGAGGGAGTAAGGAGTAATTTAATCTGCGAACAAAAACCAGATTCAGGACGAACTTTTTGCTGCTTGAATTTTAAGGTCACCATCGGCCACTAAATTACTTATAAAAAACATATTCTAATTTCAACAGTCCCTACCTTGACAAAGAATGGTAAACAAATATTGTTTCCTGAATCATCATCTTTATGAATAAATAGTGTATAATGTAAAAACATATGTATGCAAAAGTGTAATTGAAGTGAATTTATCAATGAATCCTCCTGGTTTGTTATCTGATTTCTTAGCCAGTATTATCCTAAAACAAGATGTACTTAGGCTATATATTACACTCTTGCATTTGATAGATGCTTTTAGTGCATACTACAATATTATTTAAACAGGATCTTCATTTAATGAGGATTACTCACAAAAAAAATGCTCATTGGGGTAAGATGAATAAACAGCATGGAGTCCTTGCTATATATTCTTTGAATATCCGATGAAAATGGGAACTTGGTTGGAGATATCATAAATCTAAAATACATACAAATACAATCAGATTTTTTGTTGTAACTTTTGTTTAAAGAACATTGTTGTCTGCATGAGGTAGTTTTTGTATTGTACTATGACCCTCAGTTCACTTTGGATTGGTCACACATAATTTTCCTTTATACAAAGGCATTTCCTGTTTCCTGTTTTCTATTTATTCAAATGTGTTTCTAAGAACTAGAGGGAGCCCGAATCAAAGCTATTATCATTAAAAAAAAGGCTTTTCTGTATTACTCACACCTTATCAAGAAATCTAATTATTTTCCTGAAGCATGTCCAAATAAACCTGAGAACTGTTGAGCAACGTTCCTCCCTCCCCTCAATGGAAATGAACTTAGATTCAAATGATGAAAACCAGGGAAAGAAATAACTAATGTCTGGAATTCCACAGGCTGTGCAAATATTTTAATTAAGCGAGTGCACAGTTAACTAGATTCATCCAAATGTCAAGAAACCTTTACATAAAAAGCTGCATCTGACATTCTTTTAAAAGATGCACATTCAATTTAGAGTGCTACTGAAACATGCAAATTCAAGGATCACTAAAATTGCGCACAATGTGGCTCTTAGACCGATTTATTAATAGAAAGGCTCATGCACTGATAATAAAACTAATGTAAAATGGATAAATATGAATTAAAGCACTGGGGTCGTGTCTGAACTTTAGGGGAGCAGCCCAGGTGGGTGCGGTTATAACATTTACTACCAGCATACTGTAGTATCTGAGATCCATTCTGCACTCTCACGCTCGAGACCGAGCTTTGCCCTCAAGCACAAGAGAGGCGTAGTCGCTACAACAATGAATTCTCTGTTAAAATACGTATTGATACTTCTGGGACTCATCTCAGTAATCATCAACATCGTGTTGATATGCTTAAATTCAAATAGGCTTCCAAAATGTATGTCCCAGCCACAAAAGTCTCTACAATTCAGGCACTCTGATAAAAGTCTGGTTTTTGCGGACCTAACAGCAGAGGAGTACAAGTCTGTTCGCGACTACATGTGGGCCCAAAAAGACTTAAATATCTCCCATTCGTTCATAGCAATAGCAAACCCCTCGGAGAATTTAATCTTTTTAATTGACCTCTCACTCCCGAAGAAGGCTGATGTGCTGCGCTACTTGGATTTTCAGAATATGACAGGTACATGTAAACAGGTTTGATGTATGTCTCATGTGACCAAATAAACGATTTTTAAAAATGGCTGATCTGGCCAAATTCCACCATTAAAAATTGGACCAGGTGGGCTAGTAATTAATTGTGGCAAACCAGACAGGCATAACCAATAAAAAAACAGAACAACCAAATTTGGTTTGAAAGAAAGATATAAAATGGATGTGCAGACAGACAGAGAATTAGATGCGGTTACCATTATCTCGGCTTTGTTACTTTGTTTAATAAAGTCTTATTTTGACTTCTGGAACTCTGCTTCTCAAGCTTCATTGACTACATTGAAGAAATCCATCACTTGCTCCGCGACACAACAAATGTTACATGTGTTTTAAACAAAACATTTGTTATTTATTTATTATTATAAAACATTATTTTGGATTCATGATCGATGATGATATGTGTGGCCGTGTGAATGTGTAAACTTTTAAAGAAACTCAAACACTGCCAAGTATCTAAACTAAGGGTTCTTTATTTCCGACCGCGTATGCAGAAGACGCGGCATTAATACTCAAGGTTTTCAATTGAGGGGAGTTGTGCCGATGAAATGTATACAGTGAAGAATAAACACAACCAAAAGCACGCTTCCCCAAAGGTATAAAGAAACAAATCCAAAAATATAAGCACTTCAAATAGTGCTCACAGTTACCGAAATAACTTCAGGCCAGTTTCGCCAATTCCCCTTTTTTTAGAGCCGATCCCCTCAAGTGTGACAAAATAAAGTCTACTTGATCCTCTTCACTCAGTCCCCTTACACGAATAACTCGTTCGAGTTCCTCAATAAACTCATCTACAGTCTGGCAATCTTTACTAGCGTCACCACAGTAAGGAACAATTTGCTTTTCCCTGGGGATATAGACATAAGACCTGGTATTACCAGTGCTCAGCCCAGAAAGTGTTGACATCACCTGATCGTGTCTCCTCCCCAGCTCCTGTATTTGTGACCGGAGTTGTAAGAACGCGTTACCTCCCTCATCATCGTCAGCCCTGGCAGCAGCACCAGCCCCTGGGCGATCCTCCCCCCAGGTGGC